TAGAAATAACGTGAATGAAACTGTCTGTCATACGACGGCAAACGAAGATGATGGTGCTATTGCTTGTGATTATCAACTAAGCTGTATTGGCGTTGGATTCTGTCGTATACGTACATTATCTAATCGACATCACACACCTTCCGGATGGACATATGAAAATGGAGTGGCACATAATGTTACACGTACTAATAAGCTGGCATTGACAAGCTGTTTTCTAAGAAAAGAGCAGAAATCAGGATATTAGGATATTATTAATATAAGAGACATTAATTCATCTGCCCATTTAACTGAAGAACAATAACTCAATTTGTTTCTTTTTTTCAAGGAAGTGTGTGGGTGGGTATGAATGAAGACCAGAGTCACCCACTCTACACACGGGATCGTGCTTCATGATCTCTGAATAGTCTAGATTCAATTTTATTTCAACTGCGTGATTCGCACCTTCTCGCACCCTGTGATTGACTCAGATGTCACCTAGCAAGCATTGCCAATCAATGGCAGTCAACAGAAGTCTTTAGCATCCAAACCAACACCCTTTTTCCTTTGATTGATGTAAAGAATGAAGTTCTGAGTGCGTGTATTGATATGTACTTCACAATTTTTGACATTTACATTCTCAACTATAGAGTTTCTAAAACAGTAAATTTTTACATTTTAAAGTCATTCATTCATGTTCATTTACATTAGTAGAATACTTTAATCAACATCGTGTTACATGTGATAATTATCTTAAATGAAAAAATTGATATAAAATTCTTATATCTAATGATAAAGATTATCTATATGAGATATGTTGAAGATTGAATAATATATAAGGTAAAATACTACATATACATGATCATAGATAATATCAACAATTAATATCTACATAAAATAGATTCATTGATATATCTATTGACGAAACAATAAATGATGAGTGCTTTTGAGCAATTTGTTATTAATGATTGGTTCAGAATCATATTACATCAACTGATAAGGACTATCCATTAACACAGTGCAGCAAAAGGAGAGAAGAAGGGGGTCAGCCAACACCGGGCAGAGAGGAGTGAGCAGTCGAACACATGTGGACCCTGAATGCTTGTTACACAATTTTTTTTCGAATTTTCACTAGACTTTGACGTTAAGTGAGTTTTAGTAGCGCTTTTAAAATATTCCATTTAGAAGTTTTAAGGCATCTCATTTATTAATAAATGAAGTATATCAATCATAAAATGTATGTCTTACTTTTTTTCCGTCTCATATGTACTCACCACGAAGGTTCCAATACTTAGATCTTATTAGATATTTTCGAAATAGTTATCGAATCGAGGAAGATTCTGTCAAAATCTGGCAAGATCTAATTGGAATCACTAGGATTCAACAGGATCCAACTGAGCGGATGTGGATGAATAGAAGACACTCACTCTTCTCCATAACCACCCTTGTTAAAGAGTGAAGCCCATCGATATATATTGTCTGATTTTAATTTTTTCCATTGACTTTGCTGGTAGAAACACAGAAATCCGTCTCTTTAGTCATGGCAGCAGTTCAAAGGAAGTTGATCATGTACCTATTCATCGCGTGGACGAGAGTTATCTCTCCAAACTCACACATCTATCCCTCCATCCTAACGTGTAACAATTAAACTTTTTCTATGATCTTCTGTTTCATGTCCGATGACACATGGGTTTCTAGATTTCTGGTAATCCTTCGAAAGTATTCTATCACTCTGAAACATGCTATCCGAAATACTATGAGCAACGAGGGCTACAAATATCATATCAATAGAAATACCTGATAGAAAAGCTAATGAATAATATACACCTAAAAAAAATCATTGAAAATATGTCGAAAATCAGTCATAAATAATACAAAGACGGTCGTAAGCTCAAGTTCTGAAAATACTTGAATTTTTATATTGATCAGAAACACTTCATGGAAATGTGAGAGCAATCCGTTGAAAGTATCGAAAAACTTGAGATGTGAATGAAACAGAAACAAAGACTTCTATGAAGGCAACATGAAGAAAATAGTCATTCTAAAAATATGTATTCATCGTAGTGGAGCATAAAAGAAAAACAATTCAGAAGATAGATGTATTGGTAGGAAAAATTTCAATTTTCATCATCTACATAGTATTCTTCGATAGACTTAATGTCTTCTTCGTCGTTGTTATCGAATACGCTTTCATCCACTTGAGGTATCGCTGTGCCACCTCTACTGAGTGCATCCTACAAATAGAATCATACAAGAATAGTGAAGTTTAATAGTGAAAAAGAGCACTACGCACTGTTTGTTTAATGTGAAATACTAAACAAAGCATGGCAATCACGACGGGTATTTCTGTTCTTAATTTCTGCAATTCTTCTTTAATTGTAGTCGATGATACAAAATTTCGAATTCTAACCCTGATCTGTCCACTTTCACATCTTTTAAACAGTGTAAATGTACGACTTGAAATGCGATAAAGTTTGGTTAGTACACGGCTTAATTTATACTTTTCTGCTTTTGACTTTGAAGCAGAATCGAGGCTGGATAGTATTTCAAGAACAATAGCTAAATCATCGGCCAAATCTCCAGAAACTTTTCTGTTTGATAGAACCATCTCTGCTTTCTCGAGGCAGTGTCCAATGAGTCCAATAATTGTCGAAATATCGATTGGAATAGACATTGTTCTATATCTAAAAGAACCTTCTATTACAATTACTGTAAAAACGTTTCTTTTCATTACACCATCAATGCGGAGGGTGAGGGGTTATTGTCATTTCCTCCAAGTATTGGAGTCATTTCGGTTTTTTCCAAAAGAGATCAGAGAAAAATTTTCCATTCTGTCAATCTGTTTAGCGTTTGTTTTAGCATCCTCTTCCCCGAACTGTAGTCACCTCGTAAAGACACTGTATTCTATTATCCAACGAGATATATTTTCTCTACTATATACCAACTTGAAAAATATGAGCTTGAACAAAGTCAAATATTTATACAACTAAAGCTATATAGTATGCACTGTTATAAGTCGCGTGTTTCATCGCTATATCAACCTAGTTCATCGACATCATTCAATTTTAATCACTCGGTACAATGGAGAACTTTTCATCGTAAAAAGCCTAAGAATTTTATCAGAGTGAGCTTTTGTATCGAACAGAACAAGAATGTTTATGTTTGGTAGAACTTCAGTTGAAGAAATTGCTGTACGCGTCAACTCACGAATACAGAGACGTTGTTTCGATGTAAGCTTAACAGAAGTTCACTGGTCGTGTATGTTGAGGATAATCCTTAAAAGAATATTCTTTTACCTCTATCTTTCGGCTCTTGTAGGCTCAATTTTCCACAGATAAGTATCTTTGATGGAATTTCCTGCCACATGACAATTCGTTCCGTTCCGCTGACAGAAAAACAAAATTTTTGACGATGGAAGTTTAATGCCACGAGTATGGAATATGAGTATGAGAGGGTGAGTAAAACAAACACTCATGCGCTCACACGTCTAAATCTTTACTGTTATGAATTTGCACGTGAAATAGATAATTGTCATTTGTTTTGGTATTTTTAAAGTTTTATTGAAATAGTTAGCAATATCTCAAGTATTCATGATAATAATATATAGAAAAAAAAATGAAAAAATATTAGTCATGACCAACGAATCAATATCGATACATCTATATAGATACTTATCCGTACTTTAATTTCAATCATATCCATACTGTCAATACTGATACTCGATATCATTATTGTTTTTGGTACATGCCCCATCACATAATTTCAAGAGCAGTATGTCACGATTATTGGTACTGAGTCTGCAGCGGTGTTTGAAAACCAAGAAGTCTGCTATAATCGGTGATGCGAAATAGAAATTTTAACGTGACTGCAGTATTCTGATGGTAAGGCTGATAATAGAGCTCCGCTTTACTTGCTCCGTAATGCAACAATTATATAGTGTCGTGCCTCACGAAAGAAAAAAGCAAACAATATCAAATAAAGCGTGTACTGTTACATTTTCAAGTGTTTTATGACAAAACAAATCTTTGTCTTTTGCTTACATGCCTTCCTTCCTTTCGATGAATCTATTATCTCAAAAAAAATCTTAACTGATAAAAAAAAGAACTTGGACTTTTGTTTTCTCTTTTCTTTCAAGTGTTCTGCAACATACAGGTGACAATAATTACTGTGCAGCTGCAACCACAAAACTGTAAGTTTGCGTCGGAGAAAAATGTTATTGAAGTTCTCTTGTATTGACTTACGCACATGTGTCCAATCATGTTCGATTTTTTCAACAAATGTTTAGGATAACGACTACAAAACCGCCACTCAAAATGATATAAATCGAACGTAAAAAAAATGAGTATCTTGAAACTGATCACTCAGAGCATAAATTTGGGCCGAGATCATAGTAGGCACAGTCAATGGAGTCACATGAGGCTCATGCCTTGTCTATAGTACAACAATTTAGGTTCAACCTCATCTAGATTTCGACTTGATATCCGGCTAGTTTTGAGAGTATTAGTGGGGTGCATGGATCTGTATGTGGATTTGTGAGGTTGAAGCTAAGGCGGTTCTCTACACTTGCGCATTCCTTCCTCTTCCTACCAATGCGTAGATCGGCCCAAAGCGCCCAACGCTCGAGCCGGAAACTCTTCTGTGCGTCATTTAGTTTGCTCCTCTTCTCAGAGAGTATAATTTAAAGACTTCATTCCGAACATTTAAATATTTCTTCCCATATCTCAGTGATTACTCTCTGTTTTGCAGGATGAACAGTTTCATGAGATACATTTTTTTGGTCACTGACTCTAGTGAAGATTCTTGAAACTTTTCATCATAGATAAGATTTTCAGACTTGAAGTTGAACAAGTCTTCATCGAAAAAGTCATTAGTCGTAAATAATGACAAAAAAAATGATGACATCTTTTTATCTCTCACAAGATTTATCAGATACTTTGAAATTACCATCAGCTTTTGAAATACATAGACAAGTGTTTAAGCATACTATTTTTGTCCTTTCTTTCTTCCTTAGATCACAGAAAGCAATGGCTACTTCTAATGCTGGTTCATATTCTTGTCGTAAGCGAGCACTTATCATCGGCAATAATAACTACAGTCGATTAGAGAGTAAACTTCGTCACTGCATCAATGATGCTCATGATCTTAGTGAATTACTCAAGACAATTAGTTTCACAGTAACAACATGTCACGATCTGACTAATGAAGAAACAGTTGCAGTCATTCGCGATTTTAGAAATACGATTGTTGATGGTGACTTAGTCATGGTCTACTTTTCTGGTCATGGCTACCAAGTCAATGGTAGAAACTATTTGATGCCCATCGATGATGATAAAATTGAAACTGACGAAGATGTGGAAGATTATGCTTTTGAAGTCGAGAAAACACTTGAGCGATTGGCAAGTAGAAATTCGTCGTACGTCACCATCTTCATTTTGGATTGTTGTCGCCAATATTGGCCAAAAAAGGCAGCAAAAACAAAAGGTAACTATGATCTCAAACCACAGAATGTAAGAACAATAATGAATTGTTTTTTAAGGCGATATGGGAAGAGGTCTCCATATGATTGATCCACCAGCTGGCACGTTTGTTCAGTTTGCTTGTGCTGCCAATCAAACAGCTAGTGACGGTTTGGAAACAGATCGAAACGGTTTATTCACGAAACACTTGCTGAAGCATATTGCCAATCCAAATGAAGATATCGTTCAAATTTTTCAAGGCGTAGCAGCCGATGTTTTTCAGGAAAGTAATCGTAAGCAGAAGCCATTAGGCATGAATGGACTATTACGACGTGGACACATCTATTTAAACGAAGTAACGAGTATTGATCAAGGTAATATATGTCAAACACAATTACTAGTTGTAGGTTTTGACGTATCGCCTGAAATCTGACAGTCGCTGTTATGATAAACAAAATCACTTTTGAGCCAAAAACACACAGTGTCATTTGGCAGACTTTAGTGAACTTACTATCTTCCGTACAAATACTATATTTTCATGATGAATCGATCTTTGTTTTCAAGCACGCATAGAAATGTGCTATTGCTTACTCTAGATTGAAGAAACTTTTCTAAGTCGTAACGATTGTTCATTTTGCATAAATCACAGGAGATTAAACACTTCTCAATGTATTATGGAAGGCACTCAAATGTAGACTCTGATGGTGGATATTGTCAACTAAAAAGATTTCAAGAAACAACAAAAGGACGATAAGTACTTTTTATAACGACCAGTATTTGAATTGTTTATCCTCTTTCAATGAGTTCAAAATATTTCTTTTTGAAGAATGCCATAAGGAATGTTTTAGTGCAGATGTCATCCCATCGATCTATTTCGAAGAAAGATCCGTTGAATTTGTCGAAATTTCACTTTTCAGATTTCTGTATATCACTAGATCATTAACTAGACATCTTTTGTCGCTGTGACAAATACCTTATCTAAACACTAATTTATCGATGTTGGCAGCTCTAGAGTCATAAATTTCTTTTACTCTATTATTAATATACCGGTACATATGTATTCAAAACCATCTCGTCTCTCAAATTGAGCATCATTTCATACCTAAATACGCATAGTGTAACCCAATGGGCATCTACAAAAAAAAGGATATGGGCGTGAGACTAGTCAAGAATGAGGACGAAGAGAAGATCTGGCACCCTTGCTCTTAACGAAACCTCCATTACTTCTGTTGTTACTGGTGACACCCATCTCAACTTCGAGTAAGCTACCAAATAGTTAAAGTGTGTTGAATTTTATTAAAACAAAAAGGCACAAAAAAAGCTACTAAAAAATGAATAATTGTCTTGTATTGCAGATGCTTCGACAACAACTGTTGTTGCCCCAACCAAAGCAAAAAAAGAGACACATTACAGTAGAATTCAAGTAACTCAAACAATTTCTTAGTGTTCTTTTTCTACTTACACTTATCTCCTTCTATTTATAGGACGATACTGATGCAGGAGCTGTCTCCAGTCCTGTAAACACTGTAGTTAGCTCCATTTATGAACATGTCAGCTAATAATCACTCTAGAAAAAAGATATCTGTTAATGTCTTATATTTGTAGCCATCCGCCTTTGAAATCAATGCTTCAGCATCTAAAGGTAGGACACTGTTGGTTATCGCCTTGAAAGTGAGTCTGATAAGTAATGGTGTGAATTATGTGAATAGAATCCTTGTCACTTCTTAGACACACATAGCACGTAGAAGAAATCTGTGAGTCATTGGGTTTCTCCAAAGTTGATGCTGATGGAGTTACGCGATTTTTATTCTCTTTTTATTTTTTTACCATAATGTCTCAGCGAAAGTACATGAAGATTTTTTGAAATATACAGAATGCAAAAATTCTGTCTTATGACAAGAAATGTTGTGTTTTAACATTATCGCGATTCGAGTTTCGGCTCGATGTGTTGAATTTTCGCATTATTGATTGAAAGTGCTCCTAGAAACTTATAATCTGATCGCAGACCGAGTAAAAATCAGAAAAGTATGATTTTGCCGTCATTCTATTATAATGCGATGATGAAAAAGATGTTTACTTTCCATTCATTCTCTCGAAGACACCATATTAGGTACCATTTTATGTTTCTTGAAGTATGTCAACAGAAAGAATGCTATTACTTCGACTAACATTTTGGATTGCGCAACGAAAGAGATTAGAACAGAACAGTATATGATGAGAAATCAACATACTTAAATCAATGGTTTACATTGCAATGTCCTGTAGAAATGATTTTTTTTTCCGTTTTTTTCCGTTCAGTTTACTGTGGAAATGAGGAGCAAGTACTCCGGCAAAGATTTCGAAAATGGGAACGATATTAAAAATGGTCGTTTCTGAAAATTGTTTTGTTTTATTGTTTTGTCTTATATATATATATATATATTCTTCAAACTTTGCTCTTCGAAACAAAAAATTTCGAAATCAATTCGATGTTACATTGTTGAGAAATAGATTTCGACATCCTTCCCAAGAGTTTTCCACCATTTAGCAGTTAATAAATTTCTATTAATGGCTTCTTCCTCAGAAAACTCGATTTTCATCAAAAAACTGATTTTTGAGGTAAACGTATGAACATGTTGCCTGAGTTGTCTAATGTAAAGATTCTTAAAATTAGTTTTAATTCTCGGAAGTTTTATGAATAATCTTTGAAACTATGTGGACAAATAATAATACTTGTGTATCCTAGAGATATACTTTTGAGTTCTTCAATGACTTGAGAGTGTGAGTGTAGATCTTCTCTTCACCAACATCCTATAAAAAACCGATCAAAACCGAGCTGAAGTCAATTATATGAGAATTCTCACCATGACTGTTGTGAAGCAAAATTCAAATTATAATCGATTATTAACTTTGATTTTGTTGCATAATAGTTTGGTTATCAATTTCGATTATGTCTATAGGATTTTAAAATTTTAATCGATTTTCATTATTGGAGTTCTTCACTGAAGAGGTCCCTTAACGAAAATTAGACAAGTTCATTCACTAGTCATTAGGTTGTAATTCAATGATCACAACTATTATCTTCTTTGTCATTATTATCCTCGAAAGGACTATTACTCAGTTTATCTCGCAATATACCATTGTTGTTATCTTCTCACCTTGAATGATTTCATTTTTTATCGATGTTGTTGATGTGCTAGTATGTGTCTTTTTTCTTTTCGTGTGTTCAATCGATGAAGAGAATAAGTTTCTTAACTTAATGTTGATGACTTCGACGTATAAACAATAATCGATTTATTTTATTAAAATATATATAGGGTTACTAGCTAATCATGTCGGGGTGGTTTTTAAATTGTAGAGTGACCTTAGGGCTAGATCCTCACAGACTCCGATTTTTGAATTTTCCTTTGTTTGATTTTTAAAAATACTTTTTCGAAAAATGTTCAAATTCAAAGTGCTAATAAATATGAAATATCTGAGTTTTTTATTTCAGCAAAAGAGAAATTCAAAAATCGGAGCTGGTGAAGATTTAGCCCTAACTGTCCTCTATTCAACAAAAAACAAACTATCCCTTCTCTATTGAGTCATTATTAAGAAATCCTTCCCCGCATAAATGGTAAACTCGAAAAAATTGATTTTGAGAAAAACGAAAAACAAATTTAGAAATGGATTTTTTTATTCAGGCTCAAAAAACAACATATGAAAATAGCATATTTCAGAATTTTGTCGATTTTTAAAACAAACAGTGCAACTATAAAATAAGTAGCATTATACAAATTGTAGAGCTTTTCACGCTGCGTCTTCTGGTATATATATATATATATTTTTTTAATACAATGTATTAAAATAGAAAAGCAACGTTTTCCCGTTTTTGAAAGACTTCCGAAAATGTCTCGAAAAACATGATAGTAGGTCCCCAATCTCCTTTGGTAAGTTTATGAAAACCTGGCCTTTTTGGAAAAAAGGCATATATTTTCTGAAAGAGTAGGCTTCGGCGCATCTTCCTATGATAAAATCTCAACTTCGAGTTTTCTTCGAAAAAATAGATTTGCTGAGAGGGGAGCCCTCCCTTAAGGTTATCTCACGTTGTAGTCTTTCGCAAATACGAAAAATGAAATTGTCCTTGAAATTCTGAAAGCATTACAGTAATAGGAATTGAGAAAAGTTGTTCTCGCAGAACACTATCATATTGTCTCCTGAGTGATGTCTCAGTTAAAATAAGCTACGTTCACCCGCTACATGTAAAATTGTGTATAGTTTATCCTTTTGAATTGGAGTCAATCAACTTTAGCACAGTCTTTAATGTTTTTCCATCAAGACTTTAGTGATAACATGAGCATATATAGGGCGGGCAATTTAAATCCGTATAAACTTAAAATAAGAAAGTAAAAAGGAGCCCATCAAATATCGTTTGATTTACTTTTTTAAATGTTTTATTTTATTTGAAAACTGAATCCAATACTATTCAATGTATATTTGAACAAGAGTTAATCTTAATTATAAGAAGAGAGAAGTCATATCTGGAATTGTATACATTCACTAATGTCTTTTTTTTGTGTTTTGGCTTTTTTCATTCCATTCAAAATTTATTCCTTTGAATACTTTTCGAAATAGAAATTTCTCGAGCATCTACATGACATTTTAAGGAATGCTATGTATCTTTTATGAAAATCAAAGATTTCATTAATTTTCTTTGAGAAAAAACCACAGAAAAAAATCTGTGCAATGCAGATAATTTGAGTATACATTTCTTGAATACAAATCTTTTTCTCGTTACTTTATATTCTATATTGTATCCGTTTTGTTGCAACTGAATATTGATTAGAAAGATGACTTGTATGCATGATTTTAAGATAATGTATAATGAATTGATTTATAGAATGGTCAATGTGTTAGCTAAATCTCTTTTCGAGGATCTAATGATTCTTTTTTTCTATTCATCATGTATCTTCCCTTGCGTGTAACCAGGGTGTAGGTATGGATGTAGATCAAGAATAGAAGTACTCACTCCTCGTACCTACACACCTACACATGCGGTGTCAAAAGGCATATCTTAAAGACCGCAGAAGGTCGCAATTCGATGGGAGTGTGTGTGTAGATGTAGATTAAGGCTTTGCTTATAACAACGCCCATACTCTCACCCGTCTATCAGTAGCGGCAACTACTGTTAATTCTCGAAAAAGTGAGCAAAATAAATTTTGTTTTTTGTACTAATTAGTTTTATATGATTATGTTGTTGTTCGATATAGAATCAAAAGCAACAACAAATCGAGGTTCTTCAACCATTGGATACAATAAAAAGAAACTTGATCGACTAGATATATCGGCACCAATTCGATCTACGTATGTTAAATAAAATTTTCTTTGAAATAATTCATAAATTATTCTTCTCAGATTGGTTCATGTTAATCATGTTGGTACCAAAGATGTATGTTAAATTGATGTTCTCTAATCCCTTATAACTGATTTTTTTTATTGTAGTGTTTTTTTAATAATGATGCAACATACCAAAAATTTGGAAAATTACTAACTAGCATGAATCTATCAGCAGAAAATAAATTATATACTCGAGAACTTGTAAATACAGATGACGGTTTACATAAAGTTTTAGCGAGTAAATATTATTTATATTTATTTCTTTTAGAAAACTAAAATTGATGATTCCTTTTTAGAACCAGCAGCATCTGTGGATGATGTTAATAATCAAGAACAACAACAACAACAACAACAAAAAATTTCAAGTAGTTCACCAGAAATTCATTCACGTAGTTATCGAAGCTTAGGTCAAAATGATGGTGCTCGTGCTCCACATCGGCAAGCATCTGCTGAGTTACCGGCTCATAATCCACCGAATGGCAGTCGTTCTCAATCATTTCAAGGGACATTTAATCCATCTATTGGTCGTAATCCACAACCAACTCCTACTATTCTACCAAAACCAAGTAATCGTGTATCTCGTAATACACATGCGGTAGCACAAGCTCCACCGACTTCTTCACCACCGATTCAACGATCATCGTAAGTGTATTATATTTTCTTCAAGAAAAAAAACCAAAAAATTATTATTTTTAATCATATAGCATCACCGATTCAATCCGAATATAAGCTCCGCCTGACCGATGTGGAACTACTATAAGGATCAATCATACGTCAAATATAATCAACTAATAAATAAAAAAGCATTAACTACCTATCTCAATTCTCTAAATGTCTACATATTTTCTCTAGCTACCGGAAATATATTCATACAAAAACAAAAAACAGCAGAACCCGCTCAACTGAACTAAGTTTTCAAATACTTGCACAGCATCTAAGTATTCAAAAATCAAAAGATGTCCTGTATCGAACATCTGCTACTTTTGATATATATATACAGTTTTACCTTTTGTACATAACAACACAATATCCGAAGTATACTTTTCTAAATGAAACCACACTTGTTTTCAAGTGTATTTTATATCTTTTAACTAAAAAAATACTTGTCAGGTAACTTAGCAGACGATTTGAGTCTTGTTTCAATAACAATTTGCCCCATTGACTGAGTCAACTAAAGAATACAGTGAGCCAGATGTAGCTCGGCGAACTTTATCTTTCGCCTGAAGCAACCTTAAAACGTACTTGATTCAAGAAATTTTGTTTAGCTAAACTGAATAATATATTCGCCGTCATCCGAAAACTTTATAGTTGTATATAATAGAGTTGAATCTTTTTTTATGAATAAAGGATTTCTTAATCGAATCTATTTGTGATCAATTTATAATGAAGTGTTCGCTATAATGAAAACATGGCTAAATCCGTGGAATTTGCGAAGCACGTTTGAATCCTAGATATATTTATAATTCTTTTTTAAACATCAAACTGCTGGGTATTTGAAAAATTTTGAAGGTTATACTGTGAACATTAGTGATGACCTAATGTGATCATATTAATTGATGGAAAAGGTAACTAAGGGGTACCTATTCGATCATATCTATTGAACTTCTTACTGATTGAACTTGCGCAATCCCTTTTTATGATTACAATGATCTCTTTGCATATCCGTTTTTTTCAAATATCTTTATTTATAATTAGTGTACATGTAAATTGATATTGTCAAATATCTGGAGGATGCGAGTGCACAAGTCGGACAGTTTCGCGTGGACAATTGCTCGTTCAGACATATGTGAGCTAGAAGGCGTATTCTCTTGGAGAAATCCTCCTTGGACGGATTTTCCCTGGATGTGGGTGTCAGAAACTGTGAAGTCAACATTGACGCCTCCATCTTACAGCTAGGGCCACACCATATCCTCGTTTTTGGACAATGAAATTCTTGATTTTCGAAATTTTGCGGGTATGGATGTGGACGGTTGTGAGATAATAGAATATTCACTCCCACTTCCACAGCCACAGCTATACCCGCATCCACGCCTACGTCTACAGCCATACTCCACATCCACACATCGGTCTTGCTGTGAGCTCTATGAAAACAATAATTTAATAGGTGAATATCTGAAAAGTTCTTCAATAATTGAACGCAAATTTCAGTTTTGAGATTACTAAGTAGATACGTAGTGCGTTCAAAAAGGATCTGGACTGATTTTATTTAAAAACAATAAGAAGCGCTGCTGTATTTGTATCACTACCTGTGTGTAGTTCATAGAGTCCTCTATCCATAGACATGATAAGCTCTGTTGAATTAAATAAATATATTAAAATATAGAAATACATTTGAGATCACTATTTATATACTGACAGAAAAATCAAGATTTTGAGCATCACTTAGTGATTAAATTTCTTGTTGTATAAGGTCATGATTCATTTAATATTTATGAAGGTACAGTGGTAGTTTATAGCGATCGATTCTCTATTGCTTACAGCAGCTTCTGAGTAGAATCGTTGTTTTAAAGACGAATTACTATAAATTGATAATAATCTAGATATGAATAACATAACTATTAAAATTTGTAGAAGCCTGATAATCGAATATAGTTGAATCGTACCTAAGTAAACAGTGGACACTGTTCACATTTCAAATGTACAGTACACAACATTTTACTGATCAATTATATATGACTAAAATCAGTTCAAGGAAATAGGACATTCTCCGACATAATGTTAACGATGTATCGACCATATCTAAAACTACGATTGATAGTTGGTTATTCGCCTTTAAAACGACGAGTCCATTCAAACATCGTAGTATGTGATACAGCATTACTACTGTAAACTGTCACCATATATTCATAAATATTGGATGGAAACTAGACTTACAGAATATAAAACTTTGCTCAAATTTTTAGTCTTTACTCAGTACATGAACAGTGGTCTCAAATGTATTTCTGTATTTTTATATATACATTTAATTCAACAGAGTTTATCATGTCTATGAATGGAGGAGTCTATGAACTACACACAGATAATAATATAAACACAGCAGCGCTTCTTATTGTCTTCGAATAAAATCAGTCCGAATACATTTTGAACGGCCCTCGGACAGGGTATTTCAAAAGTCCGGCCGAAAAAGAAACATGAATATACCTTTAGCCATTTAAGCGATTTACATGAGATTTTCATAGTTTCATTCAGTATTCATTGAAGTTTTATTTCATACAAATTTGTCTGTCATAGATATGCAAAATGATCACTTATCGATGCAATACGCAAATCGTTCCTTTTTGAAAATATCTGTAAAAACTACCGTATAAAATTTAGTTTAAAATCTTTTTGATTTGATTATTGATTTCAACTTTTAACTGAAGTAAATCGTTGACAAGTGAAAATGCACAAGAGAATCAAAAGGATTTGAACCTAAATTTTATGTAATGTTTTTACAGATATTTTCAAAAAGGATAGGTTTACTGTACTGCATTTATAAGTGGTCATTTTGCATATCTCTTAAAGACAAATTTATGTGAAATAAAACTTCAATGAATATGGAATCAAACTATAAAAGTCTCACATATATTGCTTGAATGGTTAAAGAAATATTCATGTTTCTTTTTTCGATCGGATTTTTAGAACACCTTGTATTAGGAGAGTACATTTTTTTAAACATCAGTTTATTGAATTTATCAACGTCGTATGTATCCATGCTTTTGTAACACTATTACTATTTGTAAAGAATAAGAGTTTCATAGATGCAAGTTTAACAAGAATAGCTAACATATTTCATGTGATTAAAAACCAATACTAGAACAGATGTATTATCCTACGTGATTGATGACTAGAGAGCATTTTCTTCGCTCATGAATCTAAAGTCATGTTGCACATGGAAAAAACGAAGCGTGAACAGTAGTTAATCTATGGTGATATTCGATAGTAACGAGCTCCTCACTGTATTAGTTATATTATGTGGCAGAGATAATGGTTACGAGCGTCTCACTCTTTTCTTTTTCTTACGTTCACGCTTCATTAATTTTTTTTTCCTACTATATCCAATCGATCCCTTATACACCGCAAATCACTGCATCAGTTATTCAATATTATTTAAATCACACAAAAACAAAAATGGCTAATGATTATATTTTTTCGAAAACAAAATTTGTTCGAGTATGGAGTATGGATACATTTCATCATTTTTCTTGATCAATTAGAAGAGGTAAGTAATAGTATATCGTGATTTTAGCTGTGATACTAATTCGTATAGTTTCGAAACTTGACAAAGCTAAGTCTAAACCCATTCTCATTTATCTGATGCATGGTTATTGGCATTTTCTTTAGGGATGAGAAGTTATTGTTATATTATTGTTATTTATAACAATAACAACAAGCTTGAGGGTGTGGGTGTGAGTGTGGATGTGAGTGTGGGCGCCAGTCTTGCAGCGAGGCTCATCACGCTCACACCCACCCACACCAACCCACATCCCCACACTCACACCCACATTCAACCTCGCTATGTTTCCTATATTGTTCATCTCTCGATTGTAACTCAATATATCGAGACCGAAGAAGAATTACAACTTTTAGAAATACTCTTCATCAATGAAAAATGATTCAATCAGTTGAAATCTTGCCGAATTGAAAGCTAGGACGAGTATTTTACCACGTTTCACCATTCAGACATCATCACTTGGTTCATTACCTGTCGACAGATGCAATATAGAGACTATAGCTCATTCACTCAAATTATTTCCTCTGTTCACTTATCTTAAACTCACTGTTATCAAACCGACATTCGATATCTCAACCTCGTTTGATAAATTCGTCTATTCTACTATTTGCATGTGCCAGTATCATCTTCTGTAGTTAAAACAGTTTAAGAAGTAGAAAACCATGGGTGTCAGTGTGTATGTGTGGGTGCTGGTATGGTTGAAAAGAAGATCGAAATAGGAAAACTTCACAGTTTTACAAGGAAATATAGTAAAAAAACCAAATGCGTGTTTGTTTAGTTCTCGTCAGCATTATGAAATGAAGCGAATCTCTTTTGTTTTCATAGTTTAAGTACGAATTTCACAACATAGACTGCGATGATAATAATTGTAACCAATAGTGGAATACCCAAACCCAATGATAAGCCAAGTGGTAGAAACAAATTCTTGGCTAAAAGAGATTTGACAAACATAAATATAAAAATATTACTAATAAAACTAATTTTCTTACATTTTGGTTTAGTCGTTGAAATGTTAGACGATGTTGTTGTGGTAGAACTAATCGTAGTAGTTTTCGTCTACAATTGAAATTATCATCTAGTATTCTCTTTGTGAAATAGAATTAGACGAATTTCGCAAATATTATTTCTAAGTCTTTAGATCTAAACAGGTATGAAAAGATCTCTGTTTAAGTATCATGGTATTCGAATTTCTGATGTAAAACAGAGGAATTCATTACTGAATGATTATTTACCGTAGGCAATTCAAATTTCGAGTTACTTAATATGTTTTTTCCTATTAGAAATCGGCAAATTCAGTTCCAGTTAGAATCTGAGGAAATGTTTGAACAGAACTTATTATAGGATTTAATCTATTCGAACAGTTCTTTCGCTCATTTATCTATATTTTGAATTGAAAGTTGCTCGATCTCTAATTTCTATCTTAGAATGTTTGA